CCGAGACAAGCCACCCCACCCCACCCCTCACCCCTCAGGTTCATGCATCCCTTAGAACTGAATGAATCCTTAGAACTGAATAAATCCAATGATAACGATATTGAAAATTTTTATTCGCACAGTGCAGTACCGTTTTCAAAGTGCTCTGCAACGGTTCCTTGATCCTCTACCTGGGAAGGTCAGGACTCCACCACCCCCATTTTACCGTGGACACCTGGGGCGTGGAAGGAGGGGTCAGAGGCGTCGTGAGGCTCTGCTCCTCAGCACTCCAGGCCTTCATTTAATGTTTCTGTTAATACTACCCCCTCCTCCTCCTCCCCCAACCCTCTTGTCCCCTCTCACCCTCAACCTCCATCCCAGACCAGTTCATTTTCTCCCAAAGCCAGAACCGCGAGAGGGGACGCCTCGGGTGGCCGGGCTGGAGGGGGACACCCCCTCTGGGCGGCAAGATTCACCGCTCTTCCTCCTCAAGGTTGGGGGAGTTGCTCAGAAGACTGGGGGTTCTCTGGGAGGGGCCGAGGCCGAGGGAGGCGACGTGAAGGAAGGCTATCTCTAGGCTGGGGACACCACAAGGTCCCGACACCCCGCGACTCGGGCCAGGCCCGCCGGATCCCCTACAGGAGGCCCTCCAGTGCCAGTTTCCAGCCCTGCATCCCTGGTCCCATTTAGCGTGAGGCCGGGGAGCTGCAGCACTGCGGGCAACAGTTCCTGGGAAATGTAGTCCCTGCCGGAGCCCCGCTGCCACCCAGGGCCAGCAGATGCACCCACCCACCACTGCCAGGGAGGCGGAGGATGGAGGCGGATTTCGGCTACTTCACCTGCCGTAAAGGGGGTTAGTGTGAAAGTGAAATGAAACCCCGAGTGGAGAAAGTGTAAATCACTTTCGAGTGCTAGAGTCGTGTTCTTACGGGGAAGAGGGATCTACTGAGCCCTTCACGGTAACATCTTTAACGGGAGAGGGAAAGGCTGGATAAAGGACTCTCAAGCTCATTCTGGGCTCCAGACTCATGTATTCAATATGCGTCCGGCACTGGGATGGGCACTGGCATTAATGCCAAGAAAGGAAGAGATACCGGCCTGTGTGGGGCTGAAATTGTAGTGAAGAGAGATACAATAAAGAAGGAAATAAAAACAAGAGAATTAAGCCTTTAATCCCAGCACTTGGGAGGCAGAGGCAGGCAGATCTCTGTGAGTTCGAGGCCAGCCTGGTCTACATAGTGAGTTCCAGGACAGCTGGGGCTACAGGGAGACCCTGTCTCAAAAATAAAAATAAAAATACAAAACAAAACAAAAAACAGTGCCATTTGTATATAGAATAAATAACATTACAAAAACATGCTATGAGAGGTAAATGGAAGTGACTATGATGGTGTGATGGTACACACCTGTAATCTTAGCACAAGGGAGGTTGAGACAGGCAGATTTCAGAGTGTGAGGCCAGCCTGGGCTACATAGGGAGACCCTATCTCAAAAAAAAGGGGGAGGAGTAAATGATATATGTTGGAAAGTGATGATTGCAAAGAAACAGGGTGCTGAGTGGAGGTGCTGAAAGTTTCCAGCAGGAACCTGGAGCTGCATTAAGAGGCTAACATGGCGGGGTGGGAGGGGGTGGTTCAGCAGTTAAGAACACTGGCTGCTCTTCCAGAGGACCCACGTTTGGTTCCCAGCACTCACCCATGTCAAACAGATCACAGTTGCCTGTAACTCCAACTCCAGGGGATCCAATGCCCTCTTCTGGCCTCTTGAGGCACCTGCACACATGTGGCACATATAAAAATATCAAAAGCCAAAGCTGGGTGAGTGAGATGGTTCAGTGGATAAAGACACTCGGCCTGAAGACCTGTGTTTGATCCCCAGGACCCACCTGGTGGATGGAGACAATAATATATTGAATGTTACTCTATGGAGAGACGGCTCAGTGGTTAAGAGCACTGGCTGCTCTTGCAGAGGACCCAGGTTCAATTTCCAGCACCCACATGGTGGTTAACAACTGTCTATAACACCAGTCCCAGGGTATCCAATGCCCTCTTCTGACTTTGAAGGGTATTGCACAACACAAATGCACTTATATACACAAAGGTAATATACTCATACACATAATAAAAAAAAATTTTTAAAGAAAGTTGTGGGGCTGGAGAGATGGCTCAGCGGTTAAGAGCACTGACTGCTCTTGCAGAGGGCCCGGGTTTGATTCCCAGCACCCACATGGTTTGTTCCAACCATGACTACGAACCATCCTTAATTCCAGTTCCAGGGGAATCCGAAACTCTCTTCTGACCTCCGCGGCATTTCATGACACGGGTGCACTCACATACATGCAGGCAATACATTCATACACATAAAATAAAAAAAGAAAAAGAAGAAAGTAGTTCTCTGACCTCCATAGATGGGCTGTGGC